AGATTAGCACACATACACACACACACAATGAGGAAATAACAGTATTCCGTATCATAAACAAATGCAAAAAATTGACAGATCTGTGTTACAAAGAAGTTTATGTAAAAAACTCCTGAAATATCAATTTTTTTACTTTCAAAGAGAAAAGCTGTTTTTTCAAGTTCCAAGTTTATTAAATTTTAAGAAAGAAATAGGCATCAGTCATAATCAGAAGTCAAAATAAACTTAACACAACATCATATGATACAATGGTCCTCCCTCTCACCAACTTCAATTATATAAGTTTCCTGGCTCAAAGATATAGAAAGACTGGAAAGTCCAGATAATTTTTCCCAAACACTGTGCACCATTATCATCAAATAAGAAAAATTAGCACCATAAAGATGTGAGCCCTTTCTCACAAAGTACATCTACACATTTTACACCCAATCCCAATAATAATATTAACAGGTTTTAAGGAGGAGGAAGTGATGACTAGATATGTTTATTTAAATGAATATGATTTTTTTGAACACACATACACAAATAAATATTAAAATTCTATAAAATGGAACTACCCCATCAAAAATAAAAAAAATCATATTGAGCGCCAATAATTAAAAAAAAACAAACAAAAAAAAGTGTGATCTTGGTACACACATAGGCATAGAGATCAATGAAAGTAAATGGAGATTCCCAGAAATAGACCAAAATGTGTTTGGGAATTTATAATTCAAAAAGAAACCAAAGGAGAAAATTGTTGGGACTATTCAGTAAAATCAGTTTGACTAGTCAATGACAGACTGCTAATTTTCTACTAAAATTCCCTCTTTGTTTTTTTTCTTGGGCCCACGCTGACCAGCAGAGCCTGCAGGCCCCACCCTCCCTGGCAGCCAGAAGTGCCCACATGACTTAGTTCTCACCAACAGCGATAGAAGTGATGTGCGCAACTTCTGATCACTTGACCCGGACTTTCTCCTCTGTCCTTCGCAATGAGGGAACCCAGATATGGTAGCAAGCCAGCTATGACCATGCAGATAACTACAGTGACAATTAAAGGGGCCTGGGAATATTGGCTATTTTGCTGACCTGCTCTGCTCCCACTGGGACTGTTAAATGAGGAAAAACTCAACATCCATGTTCTTTGAACCATAGCATATTTTAGTCCCTTGGTTACAGCAGCTCAGCCTTCCCTTAATTATTAGAGCACCTGGAGAAAAATTAAGTTGCATTCATACCTAACATGCAGATGGATCAAAGAATTAAAACTAAAAAATAAACACACCCCCAAAACACATGACACTATAAGGAACCATGAGGTAGGTTTTTAACTGTAGGAATGGAAAAGGTCTTTTAACTGTGATTCAAAATCCTGAAGCCACAAAAAGTTTGATTACATATTTATCTCTATAATCCTTGTTGAACATCTTTTTTTTTTTTAAATCTTTAAATTCTTTATTAGTTAAGGAATTACAAGGAGCAAGAATTGGGATCTGTTTTCTTTACTACTGTATAGCCTGCTGCCTAGAACAAGTGCCATGACAGTATCCAATAAATACTTGTTAAATTAATAAATTGGTAAACTTAAGGATACAAAATTTTAAATAATCTGCACAGCAAAATAATGTTTATACAAAATGCCACATGAATGTCATATATCACAAGAACAAAAGACCTGGCACTAATTTTGTTAATACGTAGGAGCCCCCATGAACGGAAAATAAAAAGCTTAAAAACCCAATAGGAAAATAGACAAAGGACACAAGCATAAAGGGAACAGAACAGGAAATAAAAATTGCATTCAACTTATGAAAAGATATTCTATGTCAACCGAAATAAGAAAAATGCAAATCGAAGCTACCTTAAACTGTTATTTTTCACCTCTCCATTTGGCAAAGAAAAAAACAAAAACCTATCAGTTTGACAACTGTACTGTGACCGGCACGGGTGTGAGGAGGCAGTGTTCTCATCCACTGCTGGTGAAATCTGAAACTTTGCAAGCTCTATGGCTAGAGCATCTTGGCAATAAATTTCTACCAAAATTAAAATGTCCATACCCTTTAACCTATCAATTCCACCACTAGAAATGGATCCTACAGATATGCCCATGAACGTGTTTGAAATGATATATGTACAAGGTTATTCCCTACAGGCTTGTTAATGAAAATAAAACTGAAAATGACCTACATGGCCATCAATATAGTACTGGTTAAGTAAATCACAGTGCAGCTCCAGCCAGTTTGCCTCAGTGGATAGAGCATCAGCCCTCAGACTAAAGGGTCCCGGGTTCGATTCTGGTCAAGGGCGCGTAACTCGGTTGCAAGCTCTACCACTGGCCCGGGTCAGGGTGCATGTGGGAGGTAACCAATCCATGTGTCTCTCTCACATTGATGTTTCTCTCTCTCTGTCTCTCCCGCTCTCTTCCACTCTCTGTAAAACTCAATGGAAAAATATCCTTAGAGGAGGATTAACATAAATCACGGTGCATCCACACAGTGGAATACTAGACATCCATACAAAAAGAATGCAGTATTAATGAGGAATAACTTCCAAGAAATAGTATTTCAATGAAAAAAGGGGTACAAAACAGTGTATATCATTACTATTTGCGTTTAGAAAAATTGCAATAATCTATAGGTTACATGCTGGTATATGATGTATGACCTGAAATCTCTGAAAGAATACACAAGAAACTGGTAACAGTGGTTGCCTCTAGGAAGGGGAACTGGGCACTTGGGAGACTTATATTTCACTCCTGTCCCTTTCTAATCTTTTTTTTTAAAATATATTTTTTATTGAGTTTTTACAGAGAGGAAGGGAGAGGGAGAGAGATAGAGAGTTAGAAACATCGATGAGAGAGAAACATTGATCAGCTGGCTTCCTGCACACCTCCTACTGGGGATGTGCCCGCAACCAAGGTACATGCCCTTGACCGGAATCAAACCTGGGACCTTTCAGTCCACAGGCCGACTTCTCTATCCACTAAGCCAAACTGGTTAGGGCTCCCTTTCTAATCTTATAAATATTGATTATATTACTTTCCTAAAAATAAATATTTTATAAAATAACAACACCACAAACATTCATTTCCAGCCCCAGATATCTGAAAACTTCTCTGGTAAGTCCAACCATCAATTACCTCATAAAACTACTGAGCTGGACAATTTTAACCCTGTTTCATAATTAAGAATCAAAGGGTTAATTGCAATTAACTACCACCACCATCTCCTCCTCCTCCCGCAAATAAGCATATATGCAAAATATAAGTCAGTTTCTTAATTCTATCCCTATTATTCATTACTTCCTCTTAAAACTAATTCAACCTCATGCCACCTTAAATGGGCATGAAAATATCTCAAAACGCTCCAAGGATGGTAGCCAAAACTAACAACTATGGTAATATATTAATGCAGCCCAGTGCCAAAAAACTTCCTTCCAAACTCCCGAGATGAAAATTTGACATAAGTGACACCTCAGCAACAGCCCCAAAGCTGTGTAACATCTGCCTTTGAAAATAAAAGCTCACATCCTTAACGACTAAAAGGCCAATGTCAACAGTCATGACTTTTGTTTTTTCCTTAACGTGAGGTCTCCCCCCACCCATATCCCCCTTTAAATTACAGGCTAACGTCTCACTTGAGGACTGGTTATTATTATGTTACAGCCATATAAAGAGCATTAAGCAGTCATTACTTAGACTGAGACTCCACTAAAAGGAAAAATTCTCCTTAAAAGGGAAAATATCCACAACGTATGAAATAGAAGGAAAAACCAAGTCATAAAATAAAATGTACAGTCACCATCGATTTTTAAACATAATTAATATGCCCAGTTTGTTTGTAGAGGAAAAGATCTGTATGTGAAAAAATGTGTCTTCAAAATTATTAGCTACAGGTAAAAGAGAGAAGGAATGGAGAAAATTATATATATGTAAATACAGGCACTTATATATAGTATATGCCTTACTTTACACTGTTTTGTGATATTTGAAATTAAATAATCAAAAATAAACTTTTATATAAAGAACAAGGTTTTTTAAAACAATGAATTAGACTTCCCTTAAAAAGAAAGCACTTGACAGCTACTACAGTCCTTCTCCAAACAATGACAAACTAGGGAGGCTGCATAGAGCAAACCTGAGTTCCTTGCTTCTGTCTACACAAGTTTCAAATCTTATCTGAGCAATCTCAACATTTAACTCAGAGAGGCACACACGTTTAGCACTTAAGGCCTCCCCTCAGAAACATTTTAGACTCTAGTCTAAAGCATGTATTTGTATTACCTCCATAGCTTAACACAACCTAAATGGCATTTCATCCTGATGGCAAGACTTCTGTCCATAGATTTCAAAAGACTCCACAGGGAGCATAATATTAAAATGTAGTTCAGGAAAGGTAAAAGTATGGAGATAACACAAAGATCAGTGGTTGCCAGGGGCTGGGGTGCGGACTGAGAAAAAGGTGGAGCACAGAGGATTTTCAAGGCAGTGAAACTATTCTGTATGATACAACAATGGTGGATACATGTCATTATACACTTGCCCAAACCCATCGAATGCACACCACCAAGAGCAAACCCTAATATAAACTATGGCTTTGGCTGATGATGTGTCAATGTAGGTTCATTTGTTGTAATTAATGCACCATTCTGATGTGGTCATTAATAGTGGGAGAGGTTGTGCATGTATGGGGACAGGGTATATGAGAACTCTCTATACTCTTTGCTCAATTTTGCTATGAACCTAAAATTACTGTAAAACATAAAGTTTCTTTAAAAGGGCAGGGGAGGGAAGAAGAGTGGACCTATAAGGTGAAAAGAATGGCAGAAGCATTTTACATGTAGGGAAATGGTAGTAGTTGAACAACTTGGCCAAAGTTGAAGAATAACTGTGCAGCTCCATTAAAAAAAAAAAAAAAAAAAAGCCTACCTTCAAGGCCATGCAAGAATTAAGGCTGATTCTAAACTTTTTTATATTACATTCATATAAACCGAAGAAATGATCATTGTGGCTAAGAAATTACCGTGTAGATTTGATCTCTGCCGAAGAGCATTAAAAGAGGTGATTTGTTGAAATGGCTCTACTGCTGGTTCCAGCAATGCTGCTCTGAGCTCCTGGGGAAGCTGACGCAGCTACCTTAGAGCTGGTTCCAGGTCATATCTTCCTGCCGCCCTTCAAGCGCTGTGCTCTTGTGCAGAGCTTCGCTCATTAGTTCACCAGGGACGTGGGGAGGGAGGCGCGCGCCTGGAATCTCCTGGAACAATGAGAAATCCCCAGGAGCTCCAAGGCGAGGCTCACAAGTGACTCGGCGCTGCAGAGGGGAAGAAGAAAGAAAAACCGTCTAAGCAAAATAAAATTCTGCAATTGGGAATGTACTGGCTAAAGGAAGTGCATACTTGACAAGCCTTTCAATTGGGACCACAAAACTAAAGCTGATTTATAGTTAAAGCAAGTACGGGGAGGGTTGAAAAACACCGGCATGCAGTATGTTGAGGTCATAGATCAGTGATGGCGAACCTATGACACGTTTTTTGGTTAATTTTTCTTTGTTAAATGGCATTTAAATATATAAAATAAATATCAAAAATACAAATCTTTGTTTTACTATGGTTGCAAAGATCAAAAAATTTCTGTATGTGGCACGGCACCAGAGTTAAGTTAGGGTTTTTCAAAACGCTGACACGCCGAGCTCAAAAGGTTCGCCATCACTGTCCTAGATCCATACTGCTCTCAAATAATTTTCCACATGACACAAAACCAAGTAAGGCCTGCCGTTGGTGAATTTCAAGATCATGTTCTTTTAAATCCCATATATCATTACAAAACAAACAAACAAATAAAACCAAGGGCTTTGCATATATTAATTGTTATATGTAGTTGGTTTGAAAATATAAAGTTCAAGCGGTGCAGAGAATGGAGTGAAAGTCTCTTTTGGACGCCCGGCCGCTTGAGAGGCACCCCGTGTGCCCGAGCAACTCGCCTCTTGTTGTCCACCCACAAACAATCTGGTTGGGTCCGTTTTCAGGCACCATTCTCAGCTGCTGGTAGATCTAGTTCAAAGGCTCATAAAACAATGAAGGAAAAGGAGCACAGAGCGGAAGGGAAGGGGCTCTAGATAACTGACAAAAAACAAAAAGCCTCCCGAGCTCCCTTTTCCTTTAGGAGGACTTTCAAAACATCAACAGTGGCCAAAGGAAGAGGAAATTTTTATTAGAACCAAACTTTCCCATTCGAATAGTTAAGTGACACAAAACACTGAGAAAACTTACTCCTTTCGGAAAACAGTGTGTTTTTTTTTAACCTCAAGGAACACGTTGCCAAGAAAAATTTCACGTAAATACATCTAAGCAGAAAACAAGCCCAAAACACAGCATTCCTCAATAATTATTTGGAAGGAAAATCACATCAACCTTGAAATTCAAGGAAATGCTTTTACAAATAATGTCAAACCTGTCCTCGCTTCGGTTCAAATTGAAGCTCGTGATCAATTTGATTTTAAAATTGTAAGGTGCAATAAAAATAAGGCATACAAACCCCCCCGCCACACACACACACACACCTCTATAGAAAGGTCAACCAGGAATATGACATTTTCAACAATCATTTAGTGAAGTTAAAGAGTAGAAATTCACTTACAGAATGGACATCCTTAAAAACAAATTCATCAGCTAAGCAGCATTCACAAACCTTGAGTTTCAGAACAAACTGTTGAAATCCTGGTATTTTCCAAGATGCTGGGCCAGGGAAATTTGGCAGATTCACACTGAAGTTGCTTTTCCCGCTGCCAAAGACCAACTGCATTTTAGGAGAGGGCCAGTGCTAAGCTGCCCTGCCCAGGGCTCTCCGTGTCTAATTTATAGGTACGTACTGTTTAGGAGCAGGTTGAGATAAGCAAGAAAATAAGAAAATGCTGGTGCATATTTTTCTGATTCTGTTTTTAAAACCCAGATATGGACTTTTAAAAAAGTTACAAAGGTGCGTATACTTCCCTAGCCCTACCACCTTCTCATTCTTCAAAACTATGTCCAGGTTCTCCTGCCTCTGTTCAGCTTTCTCTAGTGATTCTTCTACTTTCCAGATCTTTCCACTCTAATTCTGCTGGTACTTATAGTGTATATGACTTAACCTGGCATTTAACCCTCTGCCTTGACCTGAGTTTATCTCAATTTATCTACTTTATACTAGATGAGGGTCACATATTCTTCTGCTGCTGCTATATCCTTTCTCCACAGAACATAGCATCTAGCATATAGTTGATGTTCAAGAGCTACCGAATAAATATCATGTCTCCAAATTAAACATAATTTCATATCTTTTTTAAAATTCATCAGCTCTCACCCCATGAATGGAAGTCAAAACCGTGGTGTCCTGCAAGGAAGAACTCAAGTTGGTAACGTGGGAGCTCAAGTTGAGAGGAAATTCTGGACACTTAACTCTTCAAACGTCCTAGTGAGAACCAGTCTCCCCACAAACACCCTTGATGCCAGTAAGCAAGCTTGGCAGAGCCTGAAAGGTAGTGTAGAGCAGTCATGTTCAAACCCCCAAGTGTGATTTTTCAAATAATTTTTTTAAAGACATCAATGTACCAATTAAAATCAGTGCTATAAAATAAGTATCTATATAGCAAACTCCAGCAACATGTCACAAAACTTTCACTGAGCTGAGTTTTTTCCAAAACCTTAGCCAACTCATGTGTTTGGCTCTGGAGGTTTAATTATTGGCAGCTAATCATGCCTCGTGCCCTGTGAAAATGTGACCCATAAAGGTCAGAGGCACATTCCTGGGAAGTGGTGGAGGCTGAGTGTGAGGAGGGGGAAAAGGAGAAATCCAACTCCAATTGCAGGCTTACCACAGCACTACGTTTTTGTGTAATACAATTTAAAAGAATATGCCTTGAGTCATTGTCAAATGATGGGAGCTGACTAACAGGCAAGCATAAAAGGCACTTAAAATCAAACGAGTTTTTGGCACTCAACATAGCAGCTAAGCAACAGGAAGAGAAAAAAATCCAGGGCAAGTTCTTTCAACTTTTTAGCCACAACTGTATCCTTGGCCTCTAGAAATCATGGCTTCCAAATATTGAAAATCCTTGGCCTTTCAAGACATCACCCCTCGTATGGTGACAGATGTTAACTAGACGTATGGTGGTGATCATTTTACAATATATACAAGTATCAAATCATAATGTACACCTGACACCATACTTTCTCTTCTAGCCACTCAGACCCCACAACCCAAATCAATCCTGGTGTATCTTGCTGTAGGATTACTACTAACAGACACTACTATGGGCAGCAGCACATGCTAGCAAGCGCAGGGACTGAGGAAACAGCCACACCCAGTTTTCCAACCTCCTAAATATGAGCTTCCACAAATCATTTCACCTCTGTGTTTCATTTTCCTTTCCCAGGGACACACAAAATACCTCCTATCTTCCAGTGTTACTCATAATGCCAGCTATCATTTAGTGAGCCTTTGGTTCTAGAACTGTGCTTAACCTCATTTGTTTTATCCGATTTAATCCTAACAACACAAAAATTGAGAGGAAGATAATATATTCCCATTTGAAAGATAAACCCAGCCGTTGTGATTCAGTGGTTGAGCGCCAACCCATGAACCAAGAGGTCACTGGTTCGATTCCCAGCCAGGGTACATGCCCTAGTTGCGGGCTTGATCCCCATTAGCGGGTGTGCAGGAGGCAGCCTATGGATGATGTTTCTATCTCTCTAACTCTCTCCCTCCCTCTCTCTCTAAAAATCAATAAAAACATATTTTTTTTAAAAAAGATAAGAGCCCTGGTGAGGTCGGGACGGCCCCAGTGAGGTCGTGACGGCCCCGGTGAGGTTGAAACGGCCCTGGTGAGGTTGAAAGGGCCCCGGTGAGGTAGGGATGGCCCCGGTGAGGTTGGGACAGATAATGGGGACCAGTATAGACTGATGAACAGGGGTAGATGCAGAGGCAGAGCAACATTGAACAGACTGTCAAACTACAGTGGGAAGCCTGGGGAGGGTTTGGGTGGGGGATTAAGAGATCAACCGAAGGACTTATATGCATGCATATAAGATTAACCAATGGACACAAGACACGGGGGGGGGGGGGGGGGGGGAGGGAATGTCAAGGGGGGAAAAAAAAGGAGACATATGTAATACTCTTTGTAATACTTTAAGACATAAAAATTATTTAAAAAAAAGAGTTAGATATTGGATAAGCTACTTAAAAAATAAATAAATAAATAAATAAATAAATAAATAAATAAATAAATAAAAAAAAAGATAAGAAAGCAATGTTAGATGGGTTAGGTAAAACTGTCCAAGATCACACTTTTTAAGTAAGTGGCAAATCCAAGAATCCAAGTTTTACTGACTCTCAAATCTGTGTTATTAATTACCAGTAAGTTAACTTCCACCTTGACTGTTTGCAAGAACTGAACTGCATGCTCATAGCAGACATTCTTTTTTTAAAAATATATTTTTTATTGATTTCAGAGAGGAAGGGAGAGGAAGAGAGACATAGAAACATCAATGATGAGAGAGAATCATTGATCAGCTGCCTCCTGCACAGCCCCTTCTGGGGATCAAGACTGCAACCCAGGCATGTGCCCTTGACTGAAATTGAACCCGGGACCCTTCAGTGCACAGGCCGACGCTCTATCCACTGAGCCAAACCATCCAGAGCCATAGCAGACATTCTTAGTTCCCGTTCCTGTTTTCTACCCCTGAGAGAATAAGAGAAGTGCTAAAACCGTGGCAGAAAAACATAAATCCCAAACAATAACACAAATCACCTGCACGATACTACAAATATCCTCTTGTTCTGGCTCTAATATAATATCGTCACAACAAAGAGTATAAAATGTTGTGTATCCTTGAAGAATAATCTACTCCAGGCACCTGGATTTGGGGGGGAAAACAGGTTTGATCTACTAGTAATTCTGGAGAATTCAGCTGGTTTCCAAGCTGCCCAATCTCCCAGTGGGAAAGAAAGTAGGTCATATGCCGAAGACAACTGATAAACTCAGGGGACACCACACAGCACAAAGAACAGGGAGCGCCACTTAACGTTGGGAAAAGATAACTGCTGATTGAACCAGGAAGTACGGAGGAGCAGGGAGATACCGCAGATCCTGTTCTCTGGGTGCTTCCAAATCAGAAATATAAATACAACAGGCATTAACCTTTGGGACTTGGGAATGAGAAGTGAGAATTCCCAGGAATTTCTCTGGAATCCCTCCAATTATAAGTTATTCTTAAAATACTTCCCAATATTTCTTACTCATTATTATGGATATCTAAACATAATTGTTAAATAAGTAAGAAAAAACTTAATAGAATTTACAAAGAATTGTAGCCTATAACAAATATTCGAATGCCAGAAAATGCCAGTGAACAGCCCTGGGTAGTAGTCCAACAGCGGGCCCCATCCAGCCCTCAGTCTGTTTGGTAAATAAAACTTTTATGGGAACACAGCCCACTTGTGTATTTTATGTATAGTCTATAGCTGCTTTCACACTGAAACGGCAGAGCGGATAGTTGTGACAAAGTCCATATGGCTTGCAAAGCCTAAAATATTTACTCTCTGACCCTTTAGAGAAAAAGTGTGTTGACCCCTGCAATAACCTGCATTTAGATGTACAAGCAAAGTTAATAGCACTACCCAGAATCACATGTTGAAAAGGCCATTTTAAAGACTTATTTTGTTTTGGAAACGTATTTCTTGGAATACTACTCATAGGATTTGTGTACTCTATGCTGTACATATAAACATATTATTTTATTTGCATGGATGACTCACCAGGAGCAGCAGACGGGGCCACGTAATCTACAACATAGCAACATCAACATCTACCAGTAATCATGACCGATTCTCTCCTCTGGGCTCCCATCCTGTCCTGGGTCTGGGAAATGTCAGTCTTATCCTTCAACTCCATAGGTTAGCTTTCAACTTGACCTCAGTGGATTCCTCAGCTCTACAAATGACTCTGTTGATTGTTTAATTCTCACGGGAGAATTACAACACTTTTCCCTATTTACCTGATTAACTGTTTTTTGTGTGTGTTTTTTTCAGAATTTAGAAACGCTCAAAGGAACCCTGGGAAGGAGTTCTGCATTGGAAACACTATTTTCTCAGGTATACACACACACACACACACACACACACACGCACGCACGCACGCACGCACGCACACATGCCTAAGCGACCATTCGACCAATAGCTATGACATGCACTGACCACCAGGGGGCAGACACTCAATGCACAGGCATGGAAACATGGAACAGACTGATGAATCTCAGAGGGAAGGGGGAAGGGGGGGTGGGAAGAGATTAACCAAAGATCTTATATGCATACTAAAGGCCCAGTGCATGGATTCGTGCACCAGTGGGGTCCCTCAGCCTGGCCTGCAGGATCGGGCCAAAACCAGCAGTCAGACATCCCCTGAGGGGTCCCAGATTGTGAGAGGGCACAGGCCAGGCCGAGGGACCCCACTGGTGCATGAATCCATGCACTGGGCCTCTAATATGTATAATCTCAAACATCCTCATCTGAATCCATTCATCTGTCCAGCCAAAGACTCATTTATTTGTGCTAGAAAGATGAAGCACAAGGATCCAGGAGAAAACCTAAGGGAACAATGGCTGTGGGATTCTATAGCACTAAGAGGGTTCTAGGCTTGAACCAAAAAGTCCTGGATTGATCCCAGCACTGCCAATCACTACACATGTAATCTTGGGCCAACTGTGGGAGCCAAGTCTCTCACAGGCCAGATGGGCACCATGACTTTCTTGTAGAGTTGCCACATGTGACATACATCACATACAGTGGGTGCTAATAAGTGGGAACTATTACTATAAACGCAATAGTTAAGGAGCAATGATGAAAACTGAGAATCACGAGAATTGAATTATTAGGTTGAGTCATAGAAAGGTCAAAATTTGACCACTTTGTCTCATAAAAAATAGCAGTTTTTAAATAAATATAAAGGTCTGTGCAAGAGAAGAACATGAAGAAATAATGCCCCATACTCACCACCCCACTAGTGGCAACTTAGAAGAAATCCAGACACCAGATGGGAAGGCTCGAGTCTAAAATAGAATTCCCTTTTGTCAACTCCCACTAGACAGGAGGTGTGACTTCAGGGAAAAGATTCAACAAAAGACAGACAGGGAGACAAAGAAACACACACCTCACTCCTAAGTATCCCACATAATTCACGCATTCTCTCCCTTCTCCCTTCCTGCCTTCTCCTTTTCTTTTCTTATTTCTTTCCCTACACAATGCCCAATGGTGTCTTCTGTTAATCAGTTTGGAAAGGAAGGAGCATTTCTGGTCAGCTAACGTCACCAATTGCATAGTAGACCTTGTAGAGCAGTTAGTAGCTCAATAAAGAAATTCAATGGATCTGTCACATTTCCCCCCTTATTTTCCTATCTTCCCTCATCCCATAGGTGTTAATTTTTCAAATCCTGTTAGTCCTCACCCAGTTCATGAGTCTGTGGCTGCTCCATGGAGTCATGTCAACTCCTGGATGAGTTCTGAGTTTCAAGACACCCCACCAGCCCAAACCCAAGTGGCTCTACCCCAGCTGTATCTAAGCCTCAAAAAGGTTCTGAATGAGGAATTAGCACACCTTACGTAGAGAGGGATGGAGAATAGGCAGAGGTAACAGAGGAGGAACAAGCCATTTCTTCCATCCTCCCAACCCACTCCTCCCAAAACAGATCCAGATTTCCCTGGTAACTGGCTGGTCTTTCTCAGTGTACCGGGTGCAGCTTGTGTGTGTGTGGATCCCACTCCCACTCCGCAGTACTCCCACGCTCTCATCACCGGGAGACACCACTTTTTATCTGTGGTCTCTCAGTAGCGTGTAATCCTTGATGATTACCCTCACACAGAATGCTGTAAAGGCTTTCATCATCTAATGATCTCAAAGCACTCTGTAAGCATTCACAGGGATGCCACCCACAGGGCCAGACCAGATGTTCTGGTTTTCTAAAGGGGTGTCTGCATTGTTACTCCTAACCTTTGCGCTGGGGTTCCTGCGTATACATACCTTCACTAGACCACTAGACCAATAGATATTAGCAAAGCTTCTATGGGGAGCTTCTTCACAGTAGGGACCCCTGCATCCAACATCCTCCTGTATGCCCAAAGCCGGCTCTGGCGTCATACCAAACTTATTTAGGTATCTGTGGTGTGAACGAAGCTTAAAATTACAGAAGAAAACAAAAGCATTAACAAATTCAAGCTCATAAATTTGGTCAAGAAAACTTCTTTGTCAGTAAATGGCTAAGTTTCTACCCTGGACTTAAATTCAAAACAGTACACAAAGTTCCAAATACTCTTATTTGAGTGAAACAGGTTAACACAAGAAACATAAAAAAATATATCAAGCCTTATAGAAAAAGTACTACTTCATAAAGGCAGTCTTTACTTTAGAATGGCAATACGTTTTCTTAATACATTTGTCCACTAAACAACTACTCCAAATTAAAGTTAAGTTTTTCAAAACTGTACCTACAGAAATTTCCAGAAATATTGAAGAGGGATGCTACAAAAGAGGGGGTACCAAAACAAATGAACAGAAAACTAAAGCTTTTAAAAACCATTCCTCCAATGCCCTCTTGCAAATATTTATGCCCCTTAGCAATCTAAATAAAATTTTCACCAGAGCACTTTCCCTAATTAGGTTCAATGAGAAGAAACTGAATTAAAGACATCAGCATTCTTTTTCTAATTGTTTGGTCCAATATATTTAATCTGTCCACAGGCATAAAGACATTTCCAGACTAGGAATGAAACTGCTTGCCTCCCATGCAGAGAAAACAAGGTAACAAACAAACAAAAACGGCTAAGTAAAGTAAAAATAAATAAATAAATAAATAAATAAATAAATAAATAGTAAACAATATATTGTATGGCTTTATTTTCTTGTTGTTATTGTGTGTCTGTGTTCAGACTACACCTCCATAATCATGTCAGACAAGCTACACATTTTATATAACATAATTGCCAGTCCTGTAGTGAGTGATCTGAAAAGTTAACCTGCAAGTTTGTTGAAGAGAAAAACAGTCTCTTATTTATCTTTTTGGTTTTATAATAACATCTCTCTCATACTAGATAGTCAACAAGTATTTGCTGACTGATGAACAGTGATGTTGATTTAAAATAAGATTAAAGTCAAGAAGTCAGGAGATTCTGAGTCTACACGGAGGGAGCAGCCTTGAGTTCCTCATACTCTGCCCTATAATCTTGATGGTATTCTCGCAGGGATTCGTCAAGGTACGATGGAGAGAACACTGAGCTAATGAGTTAGACATACCCTGTTACTACAGTTCTGTGACTGGGAAGTCGCTTATCCTCTCTGGCATTCATTTTTTCTGAACTATAAACTGAGAATGGTGGCCCAACTTGCTAAGCTTCCCTCCAGCTCAAAGATCCTCTGTTTAGATATGTCTTTTACAATTTCTAGCAGGATTCCTTAAAAATTATGCTAACAGGAAAGGCTACCTCTTTAATTAGAGATGGTTTTTCCACCTACTCTTCAACTAAGACGGCATCCAACCCATTCATTAAGAAAAAAAGTAAGAGTAACATTTCTCATTTTATTTAGCAATTTAGTTAGTAACTCACAGTAGGTTGCTTTCAATCTGATTTGTGTATCAATAATTTATAATTGAATAAGAAAACACACAAAAAGGAATAGAATAACTGTGGGGTCTATTGATACAGCCTCTCAAGGGGCATGAGAATACATCCAGTTCCCAAAGCAGGGAAACTTGATGAACAAAACTAAAGTGAGCATGTCCACCTCACCCACCACCTCAAACCTGCTCATCTTCCTTTATGTTCTATCTCAGGCAATGGAACCACCGATGACCAATCCTACGACGGAGACATTTACCTTCCAAAGCCCACCCCTGCCTTTGTCCCAGCCCTACCTTTTGCCACCAGCAGCACTCCAACTGCCTCTCCCATGATCTCCTCCGTGTACCTGCCACAGGGCAGTCAATGTCCCTTGAGCTGCCTGTCCTCAGCTCAGCTGTCAATGGCTCTCCTTAGTATGTGCAAATTCCCTGATTTCCATGACCCGGCCCAAGACCTCTCCAACTTCATCTAGCCATCACCCCACAGGTACCCTGACCCTAATCACACCTTACAGCTCCCTGAGGACACCACAATCTTGTTTACCTCCTGCCTCTGCACTTGCTTGCCTGAAATGCTTGCTTCCCTCTGACAAACTGCTATGTTTCAGGATCAACTCAAGAATCACCTCCTGATGGAAGCCTTCCCTGAAATCCCCAGGCTCACACCCTGTCTGAGTTACATGTACCCTCATCTATAATCCCAAAACTGAATGATCACAGAATCTAAATGGTACATTTCATTTTTTTTATTTATTTCACTGCCTAGTGAATCTGCGGGTTCCTCAAAGTAGTATTTTTTCATCTCTGAAACATCAGGTATAGTCTTGTAAGCATAAGGTCCTTAATAAATGTTGATGGATGGGTGGGTGAACCATGATAATGAATTCAAAGCATAAGAGAAACCCTCCACGGGAAATGAACAATAAAAATTATGCTAATGGGGGAAAAGGAGGCAGGCTTACCAGAATCCACTCTCAGTGTTGTCATAGCTTTTAATTCAAAGCAAAAAAAACACACACACACACACACAAAAACTCCCTCAAATCCTAAATTATAAAGACTAAGAGAGAAGTAAAGTGTTTCTTACAAAAAACAATGTGTAAACAAAACGTGTACTCTAAACCCTAGCTTCCTAATGACTTACATATAGAAACTAGGAAGTATTCCCACTCTGATACTATAGGCACAATCTTTTTCTAAATTACATATACAGAGAAGTAACTTGAGAACAACACTCAATGCCATGCTAACACTGTAATATTACTGGAAATTTCAATGTTGTCAATAAAATGTAAGAAAGAAGATGCCTCATCTTATAAGAAAAATGTTAATTTTTTTCCCAGAAAATTATCCCCAAGATTGTCACTTGGCACCAGGCCCTGATACAATTCCCGTGGCTGGGCTCTAACTCACTGGCTTCCTTCCAGATGTCATCAGTCAAGGTGCCAGGGACCAGAGTGGGGAAAAGATGAGTTCTTCTCATGACAATGCTATCTTCTTAATGGTCTTCCCCACCCCACCAGCCCTTCTCCCAACCCCAACCTTTTTATACCACACAGTGAAAAGAACAAACGTATAAATTGCTATATAATGTAATTCAACTTAATTTAATAAGAAGGTAACAGAAAGGAGGCAATGGACCAAGTTAAATATTAAGTAGGAAGATCCGCGGAATAAACTTGCCTGTTATTAGCACTCACTGGCTGGGATCACTAAGCTTACACATGGAATTGCTCAATGCATGAGTCATTTCAAATCATGACTGTACTGATTCATTTAATATGTCCAAGCAAACCTGCAATAAAATGACCTAGAAGTCTTGAGATGCAGCTGATTCTCCAATCAAAATAATGGGGGTAGCAGATATATTTTAGAAAAATCCAAAACATAAATGTGTTTAGAAAAAAAAGTCAAAATCCTATTGTTTTCACAGTAGAAATGGGCAGAAGAATGTGAGATTTTTGAGTTTATCAAAATTGGGCATGTTTTTAAGAAAATGGTTGAGAATTTACTGCTCTGGAGGATTCCTTTATGGGCAATCAACACTGGTATCCACTGTGGGGCTGGTCCAGGAACTCAGCTTCTGTCCCATTCACGTCACAGGATGATTGGGAGCCCAACCTTTGACTTCAACTTGAGTGATTTTAGCTTTAAAAATCAGTCTTACATGCTGATAGATTCTTTTGGGGGTGATGAAAATGTTCTAACAGATAGTGATGACAGTGGCACAACTCTGGATTACTAAAAGCCACTGAACTGCACACCATACAAGGGGAGTTTTGGTAAATGAACTAACTCAATAAAACTATTATTTTAAAAACTAGTCAGAAAGCTCTTCTACCTTTTTTCTGTACAACTTTAGCCCTTGAGTCTATGCTGTGCTGTGCCTGTTAATGGCAGGGACATACTGTATCCAGATTCATTTTTGTGGGAAGAGCCGGAGGCTTGGAATCACAGTTTGGAAGCTGGACCTATGTCTGTCACTTCCCAGGCTCTGGAATCTTGAGCGCGTTACTGTCTGAACTCCAGTCCCCAACTATAAAACAGGCAACCACCACCCACCTAGCAGATGAGGAGATGGAGAATCTGCAAATCACCACCCAGCTCAGACAGAGGGTAACATGGCAGAAAATTAAAATGGAGCAGGCTCTAAGATGGGAAATGTTAGGTGTCGGGAGAAAATAAAAGGGAAGGTGCAAAAGCAGGAAGGATGTAGCAAGTGAAGATCACGGCAGAAGCCAGCCTACCTAGAATCAGGGCAAACCCCTGTAGAATCCTCCTTTAGGTCCCAGGATCCTTTGGGGTGGGAGTGATGAGGAGTGGGAAGGTGGGGATGAGTCCACTCCCAGGAGCATGTACTAGTATCAAGACTACATTATCTATCATACTTAAATCTTTGGATTCCTTACTTCAGTAATTTACGCGAGTAACCACAAAGTAGAGACATTTTCTATATTTTTAATCTCAAGTATCATTAAGCACTCAGTCCACTAATGGAATTACAGCTTCTTGATTTGAGTTGCTATTAATTAGAGCACATAGTTTTGCACCAAGATTCATTTTTATAGATTAATTCTATACAATAAAACATGCCTGAAGTTGATCCTTAGCAGTCTTTTCATCACAAGCCTCAAGATTCCACACCTGTGATTAATTTACAACAGCACAAGTTGAAACATCAGCTTTTCGATCATTTTGTGATATTGCAACTCTTAAGAAGCCACTTCCCTGACAATTAATACAATCTATATTTACCATCAAAACCCAAATTCCCAACTGACCCAGAATTTAATGTGAAATTAAATCTTCATCATGGTTTTAATAACACTACTCTCACTTAAAATGTGCTCTATTTGTCCAAGCAACAATAAAGGGGGGGGGGGACACAAACCTTAAAAAAATACATATAATGTGTGTCTATGAACATGTGTATGTACACACACACACACACACACACACACACTGATCGGGCAGGGCCAGCCCCACCCCCTGGTCAAACTCCCGATTGAACCCCCAGTCGAACTCCTGGTTGAGGGAACAATTTGCATATTACTCTTTTATTATATAGGATATAAAGATATAAACTTTATGCCACACATTGCTTGCCTTGAAAAGCAATTCAAGACACGCTAAGAAGACGAGCAAGTTACCAGCCCTGTCCTCCCCAACGTGGAACACGACAGCCCAGCAGAATCCTGTCACTCCAAGTTCTTCCAGAGACAAGATGGGTTAACTAACCAGTCTTCCTCAACTGCATGATAAAGCGCCTGGAAACTGCTCTCCATTGGAGCTGGGAAGTGAGCTGAATATCGCTGAGATGGGATTCTTTCAGTCAGAAGACAGGACGCTGAAAGTGCGACATGAGTATAAAAAGGAAATAAAAACATTCGCAAGTGCCTGTATTTACCCTTCACGCTGTCAACAACTCTGAGAAAAATTCCACTGAGTTTCAGGTCACTAAACTCTCATCCATTTCATAAGCACTTGTCTCCCTGATTCTGCTTTTTAATTTCATAAATCCCAGAGGGAAATGATACTGTTCTGGAAGTTTAAGAATGGCTTATTTTCTAAAATTGGCAGGAAGGAAAAAGCTAGCTTCTGTTAGTTCTAATTTTGAACGCATTAAGTATTGGAGAAGGGAACTCTTCGATAATAACCTTTTTTTTTTTTTAACATTTTAGTTGTTTCATGTGCAGCATTTTTGTTGGTTCTACCAGCATTGCTGTGCAGTCAAGTTTATTTTAAGACAACACATCCTGGCATAAATTCAACTGTGTCTCCTAGACTCCTAGAACTTTTAACCAAATTTAGACTGGTTTAACACAACCGTGAGGTGTCCTTCCCAAGTTTTTCCACTTTGGACATATGAAGAGTGGGTCAGATACATGTCTATAAGTTATTTTATTTTAAATATCATTTTACATAAGCTTTTAGAGCGCGCGCGCACACACACACACACACACACACACACTTCAACTCCTCCTTCAGAGTCACAGTCAATACCTAATGCCTTCAGTTAAGGCAAGATCCAATATGGAAGGTAATTTGGGGGGGGGGGGGGGAGCAAACAAATATGAATATTCCAAGGAAGTAGGGGCACGCCAGGGTTGGAAAAAGCTTGCATAGCTTCCATATGTGAATATGTCTCTCTCTAGCAGGAGACGTGAGGTTCCCAAATGTAAGGTTTATTATACATCCAACAGCAAGAATAGTAAAGAAACTATCTTATACACGTTTACTGCCATTTCTCAAATACAGTATGAATTCATGGATACAGTACATACACACACATATGTAACACATATTTATGAATATATATTCAATCCACATACTATACTAAAAATGTAGCTACAACCTTCAGTGAAGGCCCTAATTTTCTTTATTTTTTAAAGAAATTATCAGCACTCCATGCCCTACCCCATGCCAAGGTGTCCTCAATCAGTATCATCTTACTGCCCTATGCTGTAGTTAAACCCAGAATTGGGCCCTGGCCAGTGTGGCTCACTTCGCTGAGCGTTGTCCAGTGCACCCAAAGGTTGCCAGTTCGATTCCCAGTCAAGGTACGTGAGGGAGTGCAACTGATCAATGTTTCTATCTCACATAGAGTTAGGATTCAGGCCCTGCCATTTGCTACCCTTAGAGCCTTAGGTGCATAACTTAATGTGCCCCCATTGATTTCATCTGCAAAATCAAGATTTTAAAAAGTGTGCTTGTCTCCCAGACTAATTATAAGAATTGAATGAGTGAATATATGTAAAGCACTTAGAATAGAACATGATATATAACCACCTTTAAAGGGTAAGCCCTAACTATTATTGATGTTGCTCTTAATATCAGAAACATAATCTTGACTTTTGTGATACACATTTCCTTCCTTTTCTTAATAGCTCTTACATTGTAACAACTACAAAATACAGTCACTTTGTCATGCCTTTAAATTCAATTCTTTTCTCACTCTGGAAGGCATAATAAAAGGCAAAGGAGAGTGTATTGCGGAATTGGATTTGAAGTGTGTCAAACTTCTTTACTTCCATAACGAACAATAAATCACTTGTAATAGTCACAATGGACTGCAATCCAGCTCTGCCCCACAGCAGGACTGAAAACCAATGGTGAAAGCAAGGATCCTTCAACCAGTAAAGTTTATGGATAGACTAAAGGGAAAATTTCACATTGATGACAAGTATATAGACTCCATCCCCCTAAGGGTTATCTATAATGCAGAGAAAACTGAACACAAGTCACCACCAACCAATCAGCCAATAACACCTTTAATTTAATATAATGTATCTATTCTTTATCAATATGGATGTATATGTGAATATCTATCAAGAATACTATGGAGTCCTGGCTGGTTTGGCTCAGTGGATGGAGCGTCGGCCTGCGGACTGAGGGGTCCCGGGTTCGATTCCAGTCAAAGGCACATGCCTGCATTGTGGGCTCAATCTCCAGTGGGGGGTGTGCAGGAGGCAGCCAATCAGTGATTCTCTCTCATCATTGATGTTTCTGTCTCTGTCTCCCTCTCCTTTCCTCTCTGAAATCAATAAAAATGTATTTTTTTTAAAAAAGAATACTATGGAATAATTTATACTATAAAACCCAAGAGTCACATCTAGAACTCACTCAAGTCCTTTAAACACATGAAATTAACACAGTGATGCCCTGACATTTAGAAAAAGACAAGCTGGCACCGTAGCGCAAGCAGGACATGTCAAAGGCCATTCGGTATCTACTATGAATCGCCGAGGAATTGTATTTCCACAGAACAGCCTCTCAAGTTGGCCATCTAAAGAAAAACTACAACTAATACTTTTTTTAAAAAAAATGACTAACATAAAGGCTCTATCTAAAAACACAGTTTTTGCCTGGATCTCACTTTGCCATCTTTAGTCACAAGAGAGAAGAAACCACACTTGAGATACTGTGGCCACTGGCCACGTGGTGCGGCCGGAAGTGGCCTGCGAGAGAGAGGTCTGCAGCTAGGATCCTTGAGATCGCTCACAATCCACAGGTAGTTTCTAAAGGGAAACACGGGTTACACTAAAATCATGACTCATTGCTCTGCCCTGCTCTTGTATCCACTGTTTTCACTTTGAGCTCCAAGCCCTCCATTTCTGGATGGTAACCTGGACAAGCCTCCCTCCCAGCCAGGCCAGCACCAGGGACTCTTCTCAAGATTCACACCCATCCTTCTTCCCTCTGCCCCCAGCTTTGCCCACCAGGAAATGCTGTGACCCTCTGACAGCAAGACTTTGTCCTCTTCAGTTCTGAGTCCCCACCCCCAGTCGTGTGCATGACGAAGGGCACGTACTCGAGGGAGTATGCTGAAAAATAAAGGACTGTCTCTCCCCCTCCGCAGAGACCTTCCAGGATTTAAAAGCAATGTGTGGCCAGGCCAGCATGGCTCAGTGGTTGAGCATCAACCCATGAACCAAAAGGTCATTGGTTCAATTCCTGCTCAGGGCTCAGTCCCCAATGGGATGCATGCAGGAGGCAGCCTATCCATGATGATGCTTCTCTCTCATTGATGTTTCTATCTCTCTAACACTCTGCTTTCCTCTCTCTCTACAAATTAATAAAAACATATTTAAATACATAAATAAAATAAAAGCAGTGTGTGCCCCTACCCCGACCACTAGCATTCTGATGGGTCTAGATCAGTGGTCGGCAAACTGCAGCTCAGCAAACTGCGGCTCGCGAGCCACATGCAGCTCTTTGGCCCCTTGAATGTGGCTCTTCCACAAAATACCGACTTCTGCGCATGGGCCACGGAGTTTCAATCGCTCTGTACATGCACACCCACACATGGTATTTTGTGGAAGAGCCACATTCAAGGGGCCAAAGAGCCGCATGTGGCTCACGAGCCGGGGTTTGCCAACCACTGGATAAAGCCCCACAGCTCCTCTTTGGATGTCCACTGCAATTATGGGCAATGAATAACATACTGTTGGTTCATATCACTTGTTTCATTCCAGCTGCACCCAAGCATGGGAGGAACAGACTCTACAGCCTTGAGAAACTTAATTCCTCAAGATTTCTGTCCCTTTTACCTGAAAAAGGAAGGCTGCAGGTACCAACTTTCTCATACAGTGAGGCCTTGACTTACGAGTGTCCCGACTAACGAGTTTTTCGAGATACGAGCCGTCTCTCCACCGATTTTTTGCTTTGAGTTGCGGGCTAAAATTCAGGTTACGAGCCAGCTTCAGATACCCCACCGCTAGCTGGCGCAGCGAACGTCACAGTGAACGCCACAACATCAGCCCAGCATCACGTGTCTCACTCGTTCACTTTTTGATTTGACATACGAATAATTTGAGTTACGAGCTCCGTCACAGAACGAATTAAACTTGTAAGTCAAGGCCCCACTGTATATGGAAAATCTGTGGCACAGGACATGGCAGAAAAGTAAACACTCAAATATGTATCTACTCTCTCCCCCTCATACACCAAAAAGTAAAAAGTCAGAGTGATAGATTTTAACTCACAGGAAATGAGTACAGGACTTAGGTCGACAGGTCACCTCTCTTGAATTTTCAGAGCTGCCTTTCTATTCCTCTCAACTAGCGCCTCTTTCCTTCCCTCTTCTAGTGACCTGAGGCTCACCTGGCCAGAAGAGAGAGTAAGTTCCCCAAGTTAGAGTGGCTTTGCTGGCCGAGGGTCTGAGCAGAAGGCTTTACTCAGAAGTACATGCAGAATAAACATGACTTAACCCAGCCTTTGGCCACTCTCCAAAATGAGATATGACCAAAAATAAAAAAAATAAAAATTTTGTTACTAATTTTAAGCATAGAAATTCAAAGATATTTGGAGGGAACTACAGTGTTACATCTTTGACAAGTGACTATTCTCCTGGTTCTTAACTAGAACTATCAAACTTTGACAGTAACTCTTGTATACATTTTATATAAATTAACAATTTCTGCTGTCATAAAATCAAACTAACCCAAAAAGATAGGCTTGGAAACCACCAGCCAGCCAACTTCATTCTGCAAGTAACCATTAAGCTTTAATCAGATGTGGTTCAGTTTCTGGAACCTCGAGCATTAAGAAGGGCTCATCAGGAAAAGGGGGAAAAAGTAGGAAAAGGAGGAGGACGAAGGAGGAAGAGGAGGAGAACAAAAGAACCGCCCCCAAGCCAGTCACTTAACACAGACTCTTGACTGAATACTTCTGCCCCTCTTTGCAGCTGTTGTCTCCTGCAGTTGGCACGGGCGCTGCCAGTCTGGAACCGGTTTCCAGTGAGGACAGCATTGTTTTATTGGCTACTTAGGCAGTGCACACACCATTAATGGAGTTTTTATCTCTCCATTTTCCTGTCAGTACAGAACCAGCCAGTCTGACTCTGTT